GATGTTCAGAATTTTTTGGAGTTTCTCAAATATCCTTTTCCCGAGCCCCTAAACTATGAACCGATTGGGGAGTTCCTTGGGAGAATCTAGGGTTCAGGAGTGATCCTGGAGCTCTGACAGGAGTTTGGTGTTGGAAGTGCATACAGCGCGCAACATGAAACCCAGAACCCTACGACTTGGAGGTTCAGTGCAAGTTGCAACGAGACCCAGGGGGCTTACTCAGCACATCTCTCAGCGCCTTGCAGCCGTGAAGTAAACATGCGAGCATTACCCGATGCTCCAGCGTGCAACAAAAGCTGAGCTAGCTGGGCTATGATGATCCAGAACCTCCAAGGAAAGCCCAGAAGATCATGCGAGACCGTTGGGCTTTGTGATCAGGGTTCAGGAGATACAGGGTTGAGTTTCTGTCTCAGTCATATTGGCTACCTCTAGTACGGAAGGTAGAACCCCGTCATCATGACTCCCATCAAGGGGTCCCTAATTTTCGGAAACTAGCACAACGAGAACCCCATTATCATGACTCCCATCAAGGGATCCCTACTTTTCGGAAACTCGTACAAGGAGAGAGAGAGAGAGAGAGAAGTTAAACCTATCAACCTAAAGCCCCAAGCCCCCACACCCCGTATCTCTTAAGCCCAAAGGCCCAGACCCTAAACCCTATACAAAAGTCAATACTCTAAAGCGACCTGAACCTCAACAGTATGTAGAAAAATGGTTGTTTCAGCTCTTTGTATGGGTCTTGGGCCATGAACTTATCTACTTTTGGGGTGTCGGACAGCCCATAAAGTCCTCCAGGACGTGGCCGCGCTGGAGTCTGCCTTGTCCATTGCAAGGTCCCAGGCAGGGCCAATGGTTTGGGGGTTAGGGACAACGAGAACTCAGGGTTTAAGGCTTAGGTTTCCGCAGTGTTTAAGGCTTAATAGGTTTCCAAAAACTAAGGGTCCTTTTTCCTTTTTTTTGCAGAGGGCTCCCTACAAGATTCTTGACGAGGAGTCTAGATCTACGTAGATTATTGGGAGGTAGGCTCAGGGGATTTCGTAAGCAAACTACAGGCCGCAGAGTGCCAGTCTTCAGGTGTTTGGGTTTCGCCAGGGTGTGTGAGAGGCAGCCAAGGCTTCGATTTAGGGTTTGCGGGTTAGGGCTCAGCGTTCGGGGATTAGGGTTTAGGTTTCAGGGCAGCTACACTGTTAAGTGCTTCGGGTTCAGGGTTTAGGTTAGAGGGGTTGGTGGTCCCTTTACAAAAGAAATCTTAGGCGGATATATAGCGGGATACTTACTGTGGGTATATGAGGACAAGACCGGCGTGTTTAAGGCTTAGGGTTTAGGCTTAGGGTCTACATGATCCTCCCTGAGATGCTATCTCAGGGTTATAGATGAACTCAGGGGCTACTGTGGGGGTCCCTCCCAAGGGATGTTTGGTGCGGTGCCGATTCTGGGGGAACTTCCATAGGTAACATTTGACCTCATGTTGAGAGTGTCTCAGTAGAGAGTCCTCCGTGAAGACGCCATAGTTTTTTTTCAAGTCCCATATACACTTTATCCCTTATATTTGCCCGCACGAGACACACAAATACTCGTGTTTCGCAATATACCTGCCTAGTCACAAACGAACATGAACCCCAAATCTACTCTTCAAACAACTTTAACTTCAACGGTCTGTGCAAGCCTGCTTGTCGCTGTGAGTAGTATCTTGTTTGGGGATCCTATTGTCCTCCATATAGAGTAAGATTGTATCTTCTTTTTGAGTGGCATTTTAAATGAAGGATATAATCTTACTTGCCTCAACCACTGAGAAATGCTACTCATGTTGCCCGTGGGATGCAAGACAATGCAGCATACTGTCACTGATGCAACAGGAATACCATGGGCAAGCACAGGTCCCAACTGCATTGCACGCTTTCACCTGTGTCTACCCAACGCCATGGGGTCTTGAAGCACAGGGGGTCTCGCTTCTATGCAAGAACATGTATTCACCCCCGGTATCCTGAACCCTAAGCCCGTAGTATATGGGGTCCCAAAAAGGAGCCCGCACAATTGGAACCCACAACGCAAGTAGCATATTGACTGCAGCTGATGAGGGTAAGACCTGGGTTTGGGGTTTAGGACTCCCTAAAGCCGGTTCAGTAGAGGCATGATTCAATAGTCCCCTGAGGGTTACTATATGTCACAAATCAATGGGTCCGCAAGCTTCGTTTTGGGGTTCCAAGATCTTGTAGGAGGGGAGCCTTGCTTTGGCACGATGTTGGGACAGAGACCTAGAATTTCGCCCTTCGAGGGTGTTTGGACATACGTGCTATGACGTGGTGTGTTTTGCTTATTACATTCCTGCGAAGTCTGGTCGCTGAGTTGAGCGAGGCGGACCCAGATTTGCAATTGCAGCTCGAGATGACACAAGTGGAGCTTCAGTCGTGTGAAGAGCACATCAAAGCCGTGCGAAGCTGAGGCCATTCTAAGGGCGGCGCACGAGCGCGCGGAGCGGGCAGAAATGCCCGCGGAGGACAGAAAGCCTGGCGAGCCGAGTAGCTCAGGCCAGCAACAGGTTCCAATAAGCAACCAATACTCCCTGGTAGCCCAGGGCTCAGACGTTTGTATGAGAACGTTGGGCAAAGGCTCACGCTTGGAAGAAAACAATACCCGCTTTTCTGGAAGCAGCTATGCTTGGAGCTTTCTTGGTGAATTGTTTTGTGAATGAATCCATCAGGCTCTGTTGATTTTTTTGCGTATGCTGGTGAGAGATGTTAACGTAAGATCAGTGATTGGTACATGACTGCATTTTTGAGGTAGGTATGCGCGAAGCCTCTTGTTCCCCTATCCAATGAAAACCTTGACACTGAGCCAATCATCGCTGACCTCTGGCCAAAGAAGCTTTTAAGAAAGATGAAGCTCTGAAACTCCCTCAAACCCATCACCCTTCACCGTAAACCATATAATCTCTTCCCCCAAGTAGCACAGCCCTTAAATGTGCCCAGCACTAGGTGGAGGGGAGCAGAACCCTCACAAATCCTTGCCCTCATCATCAGGCAGGCGAGGTGGACGATGCCGACTTGCACATTGCTCACCGCCGTCTGCAAGCCCTTCGGGAGGCCCTTGGGGCAAGGTATTTAAGAACTTAGGAAATGACATGGTTGTACACCGGAGTGGCCGGTCGAGATAATTCATGGGTTCATGGGTCTCAAAGGAAGGATTAACCCTAAACCCTTAAGCCCTCAAATCCTTCGACTTTTCAACCCTTAAAGCCTGAACCCCACACCCTGAAGCCCTAGACCCTAACGCACAATTTTTCTAACCGAGTCTGCCAGTGAATTTACTTCAAAAGCCTCGACTCCCACGCCATCAGCCCAGAATCTTACACTCAAAGCCTCCACGGCAAAAAGGGGAATCCAAATCCCAAAGTCTTCAACCTGGAAATCCTTCTGTTTAGGGTGTAGGGTTTGGGGGTTTTGGGTTTAGGGTTTAGCTTAGGTAGAGACACAACCTCAAATCCTGAACTGCAGGCGCAGGCGCCGCGTCGCCCGCCACCAGATGTGGAGCCTGAGACGAGCGCCGAGAGTGAAATCTGCCTTCCACATGAGGTACTGTCAATATTAGCCTTATTAAGGGAACCTTAACAGCGGACATAGGGGTCCCTCTTGTAGTTTAGTATAGTCCAAGGAACCCATCTCCAAAAAATTGTGTAGGAAATATTGACTGTAGCTTACATGAAGTAGGGGCTTTATGGTCTCTACCCCCAAAATAGAGAATCAAATGGAAAAGAGAATGGATAATGAGCTAGAAGTTGAGATCATATCGTGGTTTAGAAGGATGTGGATAAGCGTAGAGTAGGGATTTATTCTGGTTTTTGGAGAGTGTACACTTCGAAATATCGGTGAGTACATATTGGGTGTCCAATTGGGGAGACCTTGCATTAAACCATGGGTCCCATGCGGTATACCTGGTTGTTGTTCAGGAGCTGTCACAAGAAAGGAACCCCAGTATCACACGCTGCCGCTGTAGTGCTAGTCTTTGCTACAAACTCATATTACGGCAAATCAGTTTGACCCTTCCACATGCTGGGGCTTGGGAAGTAGGGCCGGGGAATTGAGCGTTTTGACTGATTTTGCCGGGCTGGATAATGTCGGGGCCTGAATAAGTTCCAATATTGTAGTCCCAGATTCCTGTATAGGGTACTTCATACGGACTTCAAAATGATACCGGCATTTATTTAGGTGCTTGTGGTAGGGCATAATCATACCCAAGCAATTAGAATAGGGTTTAGAGTTATATGGGCTATTAACAGATATTATAGATATTATATAGTAGGGTCTAGGATTTAGTTTAGGGTACACCTAAATCCTAAAACCCAAAACCCTAGAGTTTTCGACGCTTCCCTGCCTGCTCTCTGGGACCATTCCTTGCACTTGTACCACTTCTTCTGCTGCCCGTGCCACGGACCCTGATGCTGTTATAGGAGCCATTGTCTAAACTCCTAGTATCCCCCTTAATAACCATTATAGGAATACCCTATATAATCCCCTAGCTCACATTGCTATCGCTACTTTTACTGCTACTGTGCTGTTGCTGCTGCTACTGCGACTATCACGGCCATTACTATCACCGGCACCTGTAGTAGTGCCAGTCAGAGCGATGCAGCCTTGCAAGAGACAATTCTTTTGACTAGGACTTTCCATCCCAAAGCCCTCAAGCACTGAGCACACAATCCCAAACACCCCAATCCCAAATGGGAGTTTCTAAAGTCCTTCCGTTTTAGCTCTTAATGCGGACACACAGATCCGGCATAATTTCTACATGTCCCCACCGTCCCTAAATGCCTCCTGTTGAAAGCAGCCCTAAATCTACCTTTGGTAGTCGGTCAAAATATCTGTCCTGAAAGTAGGTCTTAGGGTTTAGGGTTTGAAGATTTCGGGCTTAAGGCTTAGGGTTTTGGGTTTAGGGTTGAGAGAAGTGTGTCCCCAACGGTCCCGTTTTTGGAAAGAACAAACCCCCCGGTGCTTTGTCCGCAGCGAGCGTCCAACGGCCTCACAAAGCAGCGACCTGCCCTCCCGACATCCACCTCTTCGCCCCCCATGGCTCCCAAGACCGCGCCAAAGGCTAAGGCCCACATGGGTTTAAGGGTTTAGGGGTTTAAGGGTTTAAGGGTTTAGAGGTTTAAGGGTTGAAGGGTTTAGGGGCTTAAGGGTTTAGGGGTTTAAGGGTTTAGGGGTTAGGGGTTTAGGGTTTAAGGGTTTTAGGGTTTAAATATTCAAGGGATTAGGGTTTAGGGTAAATCAAAGGGGGGTTATATGGGGGATTCTATAGTCTTGACTCCTTAATTAAAGAGGGGTTTATATGGGGGAGTATATAGGGGAGTGCTATGGGGGTTCTTAAGGGGCATGCTAGAAGTTTAGACTATGGCTCACATGAGCTATTACAGGGGCCTAAATACTGAGATGTTGGGTCCCAGACTCCTCGTATGATTATGGTGTAGGGTGCCTGAAAAAGACTTCAACAGAGTTTTGGTCTTTATTTACGCCGCTACAGCAATGGGTTGTGCTGAGTGCATATAGTGTTGCTTTGGAACTTTGGTGAGTGTATACGTTTTGTTTCCGATTTTGAGGGAGCATCAATGATCAATTCCGACCATGCGTGCGGGGGTTTGAGGGTTACGTGGTTTCGGGCTTAGGATTTATGATCAAGGGTTGAGGGGTTCAGAGTCTGGGTTTTTAGGGTTTACAGTGCCGTTGTTTAAGGAGTTGAGTGTTTTGTCTGCTTCTTCCGATATTCCTCAGTTTGGTGTGCATCGAAGGGTTTGACGATGGCCGAAGGCTTCTCGGTCTCAGGGTCCTTAAGCCCCAAACCCTTAACCCCTGAACCGATGCCTCCGGCCGGAGGCAGGAAGGGGCCGTCATAGGCTCGTGGAGCACTTTCAGGGTTATACGGTTTAGGGTTTAGGGTTTAGGATTATAAGCTAGGTGTATGGGGACTGGCCTAGACTGATTATAACAAAGGTCCCTATAGTGGGGTTCTTGTTACACTTCCGGTCCATTTGAATTTCTGCCGTTGTGGGAACGGTATCTTAGCCCAAGCCCTATATAGAGATTCTAGGAGTCTGGGTCCACCTAAACCCTAAACCCTAATGCGTCTTGTTCGCAAGAGTTAGCCAGGTTACCAGCAACCTTGGAACCTGGAATCTGAAATCCCGAAAGTTGGCGGGGTTTGAGGTCCACTCTGTAGGGTTGGGTCTAGGGTTGAGGGTGTGGGGCGTCGGGATAATTACCTCCACAAGGTAGAGCATCATATAAGAACAGGGCCCATAATGTCAACAAGCTTCCAAACACCGAAATACCAGACCATAAAGACTAGTTAGTCTGGGAGAGTAAATCTCGAAACCCCGAAGCTTCAGCCCTAAATTCTAGACCCTGAACAGGAGTGTAGGCTCTCGCACTCCTGATAAAATATCCTCGGAGCACACCTCAGCAGAGCTCCATTTTCAGAACCCCCTGCTTTCTTCCCAGGACCTTGTGAAAGGGATACTGACCTTGAAGAAACCAACCTCGACATGCCAATACATCAGTGCGGCCGCGCCCCGCCTCACCTCACCTTAAAAATGGTGGTGCAGTTCAAAACCAAACCCTACACTTTCCTAAATCATACAGGGATTATATTCCCTTATTCCCTCTTAGCCGCCAGTAAGCACAATGGTCCGAACATGGCCTTCTAAACCCTAAGGCCTTTTGGAAGTAAAGCCCTACACGCAAGGCTTCGTGTAATCCTTAGCAAAGGCCCTAGACTATGTTTTGCCATAACTCAAGACAACAAGCCCTCAACCGCAAACCCCAAACCTTCCATCCTGAGCCCTAAGACCCCAAACCCTACACCCCTAAACCCTAAAACCCTAAGCCCTATGCGTCCCGATATGTCTCCCGAACCCTTACATGCCCTTTACATTTAGGGTTTAGGGTTTAGGGTTTGTACCCTTAAGGTCTTAGGTTTTAGGGTTAACCTTGGGTTCGGGGCTAAGGGCTATAGCTCATGCCTTAGGGATCCAAACCCTAAGGGTATAAACCTTAAGGGTACAACGGACCCTAAACCCTAAACCCTGGAGCCTGAACCCTGAACCCTGAACCCTAAACCCTAAACCCCGATAAAAGGCAGATGCTAAGCCAAAAGCGGATGCCAAGGCTAAGGGCAAGGCCACTGGGCTCATAGGTTCTGT